TATAAGTGGAATCACTCATTACATAATCTTTTGAGACTGGCCTTTTTTCACTTTTCACCTGGCATGCTTCTCTAGAGATCCTACCAGATTGTTGCATGTATCAAATATTTCATTCCTTTTCTTTTTCTTGGGCTGATTAGTATTCCATGGTATGGGTATACCACAATTTGTTTAACCATTTACCTATTGAAGGGCACCCATGTAATTTCCCCCTTTGGGGTGTCATGAAGAGATCTGCTGTAAATATTTGTGTGTGAACATAAGTCTTCATTTCTCTAAGTTAAATGTTCAAGAATATAATTGCTGGGTCTTGTGGTAGTTCCATGTTTAGTTTTTAAGAAACTGCCAAGATATTTTCCAGAGTGGCTGTACCATTTTACATTCCCACCATCAATGTGTGAACGGTTGATTTCTCTGCATCCTCTTCAACATCTGGTGGTGTCACTTCCTTACTTATTTTATTTTAGCCATTCAGACAGGTGTATACGGTGATATGGCACTGTGGTTTAAATTTGCAGTTCCCTAAGTTGGGAGTTTTGGTAGCATAGTGCCTAAGGCACTTGACTGCTAACTACTTCCATAGTGATACTGCCTCGGAAACTCAAGGAGGGGTTGCTATGAGTCGGGGCCGACTCAACAGCACAGAACAACAACAAGAATGGCTAATGGTCCTTGGGTGGTACAAATGGTTATGCATTCAGTGCAAACTGAAAGATTGGATGTTGAGTCCACTCAGAGGCCCCTTGGAAGGAAGGCTTGGTGACCTTCTGAAAAACCAGCCAATGAAAAACCCTATGGAGCGCAGTTCTGTTCTGACACAGGGTTGCCAGGAGTTGGAATCAAGTTTATGGCAACTGCTTTTTTTAAAAATAGAAAATGTGGTGCAAATGGTTAAGCACTTGACTACTGGCCAAAGGTTGGTGCTTCAAGCCCACCGAGAGAGGTGTCAGGAGATTTTATGCAATGTTTTCATAAGTGTAATTTAGTTCCTTACAATAGTCCTCTGTAGTAAGGCAATTATCATGAAACCCATTTTATAAATGAGACTCAAAAAGAGGAAATGATATCTTGAAGCTCACTCACCTAAGGATGTGACTGAGCTTGGAACTCAAGCCCAGGTCTTGCCAGTGTTTGAAGAGAGAAATGGAGATAAAGGAACTGGAAGTGAAATGTCAGTCAGTTTTGCGGTGTTGGTATCATTTTTCTCTCAGTCTGCACTGTCATCTCATAATCTTTCAAATGTTGGTCAGCTAATTGTTTCTGACACCTTTGCTGTACCGTGCTAGACACTTCATATGAATGGAAATAAAAAAAACAAGAAAATCATTTTTCTGAGCTACAGAGGTAGTGACTAAAGCAGTGTCACCCTTAATCTAGACTGTGAAAGATAACAAATCTGGCAAGACATAATGAGACTAAACCAGCTCCTGGCTGGAATCATTGCACTTAGCATTGTTAGAAGTAGTAAGAGTATTATTAACTCTGATGATCTAGTCTCTTCATATTGGAACGTTTCTCCAGTCAAGTGATATTTAAATATGTCAGTTACTTCCTCAAATCTGGCTAATTCCCTACAGATTCCATGTAAAGACACAATTTAACACGATATTTCCAGGGTCTCTTGTTCCTTTCTGTAGAGATATAAATGGTCTTTAAGGATCCCTTGCTATAACGCGGAAGGAAAGTTGGGCAATCTACTTCTGTAGTGACACCGCCTTGGAAACCCAAGGAAGGGTCATTATGAGTCAGATCTGACTCGACCTCAGTGAGTTTGGTTTTTTTGGTTGCTATAATAAAGCAGAAATCTCCTCAGATCTTTTTTTCTTTGCTCTTTCTGTAACAAAAGAACAGAAGACCTAAATTGTGTGACTTTGTAAATTCATTTAAATTAGAGTCAACTGGAGTGAACAAGTTATATCAATAAAAGGAAGAAAATATATAACTGCTTTTCTTAACTAAAATAAGTCAGAATTTCAAAGACTAGCCCTGTTTGTACAGAAGTTATGCATGTGGCAAAGGGACGGTTTTGATTTTTTTTTTTTTTAATAAGGACCAATACCTGAAGAAACAAAATAGAGGATGCATTTATAATATCTTTGGTGTGGCAAGTTCATGTTGATGTCTGGAGATACCAATTTTGAATTATTATATTAGAAAGAAACATTTTTTTTACCCATGGAAAGAAATGATGAGGTGTTTTAGAAATTTCCATATAATATATGCATTTAAATTATTAGAATAATTATATTTAAGTGTGAAAGGATAGGGAGTGTCTGTTTATTCAAGGTAAATATATTTAGCTAATGCACATGATTCAAGAAACATGTTTAGTCAGATGAAATCTTAAACTTCAACTTACTACCACTATATGCTATGACCAATGCCAGCACCCAATTGTTAACTAATATTTGAAAAACCCAAAGTTTGGCTCAAAATGCTTGACTCCAAAAAATCAAAGGGATGAAATGAGGGGAGAAATATGACCAAACAAAGTATAAGCAGATTAAGGAGAATCTAGAATTTACCATCATCGCCTAGAAATTAGAGGCTTAGCTTCTGTTCTCATATACCTTGTAAAGACTCTTATTTTGACCTTTCAACCAGGAGTATAACACCTTCTACGTTTAAATAGAAGAAATGTTGTTATATCAGCCAGTAACATGGATATCCCCTCAGGTGAAAATTCTTACAGTAGTTACCAATTTGTAGCAGGTCAGAATAATTGTCAGGTGGATCAGAGTCACCGTTATTTTATTTTATGTAGTGGTGTAGTGCCTAAGGCATTTAACTGCTAACCAGAAGGCTGGCAGTTCAAACCCACCAGCCACTCCTAGGAAGGAGGCTTGGACAATCTGCTTCTGTAAAGATACCACCTCGGAAACCCAAGGAGGAGTCACTATGAGTCGAAATGGACTCAACGGCAGTGAGTTTTTTTTTTGTTTTTTTTTTAATAAACAGATGGAAGAGTAATATGTCACTTAATGTCTTAGTTTCCAAGGGCTGCCATAACAAACTACCACAAAGTAGGTGGCTTTGAAGAACAGAAATGTATTTTCTGCTACTCCTGGAGGCTAGGAGCCCAAATTCAGGGTGTGGTCAAGGCCATGCTCTCTGTGTCCACCTACAGGGGAAGATCTTTCCTTGTTTCTTCTAGCTTCTGGTGGCCCTGGCCATTTCTTGGCATTCCTTGACTGTTCAGTGCATCTTCACATAGCAGCTCCTCCCATGTGACTCTGTCTCCATGTCTGTTGTCCCTTTTATAAAACACCCTACTCCATTATGACCTCATTAACTTTGCTGATAACATCTTCAAAGAAAGACCTTCTATCCAAACAAAGTCATAGTCACAGGTTCAGGAGTTAGAACTCCAACATATCTTTTGGGGGTACACAATGTAATCCATGGCACTTAAGAATATATTTTAGTATTTCACTTTCTAGAAAAATACTATATATAATTTTGTTAAATACTACAACCACCAAAGAAGATAATCAAATAAATTCCAATGAAAGGTCCATCTAATGTAACAGAAAATCGAGATTTCTAGTAAATGATATCACAGATATGGATTGCTTGATTTTGCTTTTGCATACAGGTCTGGAGTGATGGAATGTTTTACTTGGTTTTCTATTACAGATGACTTGTTTAAAGTTCACAAGCTTAAGCCAAATCTGAAGTGGCGACAGGCTTTCGACAGCTACTTAAAAACTCTGCCTCCATACTTCTTATTAGTATGTATTTATATGTATATATGTATTAACTATAGAAATGATGATTCTTGTCGCAAGCTTTCCCCTGAAATAAGAGAATTATCTTTTGATTTTACAAGTATTTGTGTTGTCACGGTCTTCTCAAACCATGTGTAAGAATTTGGAGATGTCTTGGTGGCACACAAAAAGGAACTGTGTATTTTACTGAGTTTCACTGCCATGGTTATTTTCTTAAAACACTTCTCTGCTTCTCCTATGAAAACTAACCTTATGAGATTGTAATTTCGGAATTTAAGAATAAATAGGTCTAGATTCATTTATTATATCAGCCTCCCTTTTTAACTCTAGAAATTCTCAATATGGTGTTTCCCTCTGAAAAAAAGAAAAAAAAATTGGAGTCATTATATTTACTTATTACCTATTAAATGTGTTTTAGAGACTGCAAGAGGTGGGGGTGCTGGGAGGGGAATCCAAAAAGAGTAAAAGCCTACTTGGGCTCATTTGGGTTTTAAAATTTGAAAAAAAGGATTCATGATCATTTTGAACTGATAATATAACCTAAGGTCCCTGGGGGGCACAAATGGTTTGAGCTCAGCTACTAATTGAAAGGGAGCTCTGGTAGCATAGTGGCTAAGACACTTGCCTGCTAACCAGACGGCTGGCGGTTCAAACCCACCAGCCACTCCTCAGAAGGAAGGTTGGGC